CCCCCCGCCCCCAGCCTCAGATGCCACAGTTTACAACAGCAACAGGTGAAAGATGGGCTGGAAGGCAGAAAATTGCCAGGGTTGTCCAATTCTTGACGTACATCTGGGCTGTAAGAAAAAAATATTCCTCTAAAGCTGTTGCCTGAGCAGGAAGCAACCTGTTGGCTGCAGAGCTCATTAACCAGAGGTGGTGGGAAAGAGCGATGACCGAGGAACATGGCAGCCAGACATTAGCCCCAACCCTACTTTGCTGCTTGAACCTCTTCTATGAAACACTTGTGTGCTCCAGACTATCCCGGTCCTGGCTTCACAAGCACTTATGTCAATGTTCATAAAAATGCAACATTCCCAGTTTATACCAGGGATGACTTTAGAAAAAAAAAAAAAAAAGGCATTAAATGTGAAGCCAAGGATGTAAAAGGATGTAAACTTTCCCCTCAAGTTAAGGAATCATCAATGTCTAGTAGAGAATAAGCTGCATATGAAACAGCACGTCTTTGTCTCCAATTTGGTGTTATTTTCAGCAGCGAGGAAACATGATTTCACTCATCCACTCTCCACTCCAGCTCCTGAAGACAACAAGTGATGATGCCAAATGAGAGGTGGGAGATCATCGAGGGCTTCGCAAGGTTTCTCTCTTTCTCCCTCTGCTGATAAACCATCCTCTGTGAAAATAAGCTCTAGTACCTCTGTATTTACTGGAAAGGATGAAAAAGCAGAGGAACAAACAGCTCATTTCCTGCCTGTGAAGATTTAACTATGCATTTTATTGACAATAGAAAGCAGATTTTGAAATCCGGTTTCTAATAGAAATGGGATCAAGCTATGGAGGGTAGACCTGAACTGGGACTTCTTTGCAGGTATGTGAGCATGTGCCAGATGCAAAATATGAATTGGGGCCTGTGCCTAGTTCTTGGGCTTGCCAGCAGCCATAGCTACCAACACATTCTTTCCATTAGCACAGCAGCCAGCACTGTGTTTTGCTCTCTGTCATGCACTGCTGCTATATAGCAGGGCAGTGCAGGATGCATTTCCACATCACATGAGAACTTTCAGGCCACTTGTATTATGAGGGCTCCAGGTCTCTGCGCAGATCCCTGCAGGACTTTAAAAAGAAACTGGCCTGGAAGAATTGAAACTGAAAGGCTCCAAAGCATAGCTTAAAATAGATATTTGAAATTGTTTTCACTCTCTGTGCTTTCAGAAATACTGTGTCATCAGAGCTACAGAAAGACTCTGCAGACAAACAGTATCAACCATTTCCCATGCTAGCCAGGCTTCTCAGTCTCAGATTGCTGGAGGATGATAAGTGATTTACTTTTTCTGTCGTTAAAAAAGACTTTCAGCAGTCTGAGGTTGGACTTAACACAGTCACTTAAAAACAGTTCACAAAGCGACACTAAGGGATTTAACAACGTTGAATGGAAGAAACGTCAGTGAAATCACAGTTTTGGAGGGGGGGTTGGATATTTATTGTCTCAGGCGGTAGAAATCCAAACTCAGCAGCATTGTGCAGCTACCTGTAAAGCTGACCATGAGCAGGATGCGATGAACAGATTGGGATCCTTACTCCAGGCATGGGGTGCAAAACTAGTAAAGCACAGGATTAGAGCCAAGGGATTTTAGCAAATTTCTGCCGTTTATTATCTTGGCTGTTGCTGGAGCAGGGTTTTCTTGTCAGTCTTGACAGTGTCCTTTTAAAGGTAGAATGAGTCAAGGACAAGTCCGTTGAGGGAGAGGAGGGATTTGTATTAAAATTCAGCATTACCCCAGGACTGAATTTGGCCCTTCATGTCAAAGGATGCCATTTTTAGTGGGATAGAAAGAGCATTCACTTTATGGTTCCAGTCTGACAACAGTGCCAAACCCTTGAGTTTCCTATAGTCATTCGGAGTTCACTTTATGGCTCCAGTCCAACAACAGTGCCAAATCCTTGGGTTTCCTATTGACATTCTCACCACACACTGGACCTCTTGCCTGAACCCAGTTGCACTGGACAGGCAGCAGGGCTGCCACGGCTGTAGGGCGACCTGGTCTTGTCCTCCCAGAGAAGCAAGAATATGGTCTACAGCTCTTCCCCTGGGACTAGCACTTCTCAGCTGCTCCCATTCCTATATTTTCCATTAGTTTGTCCTCTTTCCTCTGGCCTCTCTTTCACATCCCATCTCCCTCACTTCCTCTCTTGTCTCACATCATTTCACCAGCAGGGTCAACATACTTAATCACCTCAGAGAAGCTGCACAAGTCCTCTTCTCCACTTCCCTCTCAGGGATTAATGCAGGGCAGCCATCCGGCAGCGATAGCAGCAAGAGGGAGAATCTCCTGGGACCATGAAGGTGTCAAGGAACCAGCACTCCCATCCGTGGAGAGGGGCATTGCTGTTCACCACAGAAGGCCTTGCTATGGACAGCAAACCCTGAATGTTGGTGGACCAATGTTCCTCGGCTTAAACGGTGCTTCTTTCAAGTATATGTTTATATACATACATATATGTGTGTGTGTGCTTGCTCCAGGAGCGGGGAGCATTAAAAAGACAAGGCTCACTCAAACAAGTACAACCAGCAGCTCAGTGGGATCACTGCTCATCTGGAGTTGTTGCTGTCCTACTGAAGTCTCTGCACCAGGCATTGGCCTCTCAGATAGAATGGCTTCCCTTCCCCCTTGGGCTCACTCCTCTGTCTTTGCAGCAAGGAATGGCTGGGAGAACCGCTCCTGCAAAGTGCTAGCATGTTCTTGGAGCTGGGTCAGTGTTTTGTTTCCTGAGATTTTTTTTTTTTTTCTTTTAAGGTTGTCTTTAAAAATACAAAACACCAACACCTGCCTGGATTTCTGCAGGGCACTGGCTTCTGGAGGGCACCCGACCCACGTGGGCAAAGCCTTTCTTGGGATTGCAGCAGCCAATGGAGAGGTGCCGAATGGTTCTTCTGTGTGCTTTCTTGATCAGTAGCAAAACCTTGGCTCTGACGATCCTCTGGGGTATTTTCAGTCACTTGGATGACCCTCCCACAAATATTTCCATCAGCCTTCTGCCTGGGACAAGCTCTTTTGGGAAGGATAGTGGTGGTTTTGTATTATCAAGGTAAAACTGTATTATCAAGGTAAAACTTGTATTATCAAGGTAAAACTGTAAGTAAGAAAGAAATTTGGGAGGGAAAGGGGAAGGGGCGGGTTGCTGCGTTTATTTTTGTCTGAACCACTGACTATTTCTGCCATGAGCAATGCTGGTTTATTCAGACCCTTCTGGGAGGTCCTGGTTGCCTTCCCATTGGCAATGAGCTGCCTAAGAGCCTTGACTAGTTTGGAGCGGGCAGAGCAAGCACAGTGAGACTCCCTGTAGCAACCCAGAAACTCCCAAAGAACAGCCTGGACATGGTACTTTTTTTTTTTTTTTTTTTAAAGGCTGAGAGGGGTTAGAGGCGATGTAGCATCATGTGGGCTGGATCTCCTGCAAGGCTGCAGCGACCTGCAGCTGCCACAGCCTGAACTGGCTCATCTTGACACTGGGCCTGAAATGTAGGTTAGAGCAGTGTCCAGCTGCTGCGGCTCACTCCTGGTGAGCAGAGTGCCTCTGCGTGGAGCAGCAGTGTCATCAGCTTGGGGGTGACACCCAAGCCCAGCTACCACACAGAGCCTCTCCCTCAGAAAGGGTCAGGTTTCCTCTTTGCTTCAGAGAGAGACATCAAGAGGGATGGCGAGAGAAGGGGAGGTGGGGAGGGGAAAAAATATTCTTATTTAATGTCACTGATTATATTTTTCCTAAGAATACTAAACCTTGTTTTGTTCCTCTTTTCACTTCAGCTTGGTATCTCTGTTTGTGACATCACAGTCTGTTTATGTGGAGAAGAGCATGATGTCATAAAGAAAGGCACTGATGTCACAGGCTCTTTAGTACACAAAAGACAGGCTTTTCCTTAAACTTGGAATAGCCTTCGTGTTGCGTTTTGGAAACAGGCGATTTCACTGGGAATACCAATTTCCCATTTAAATACTGGCATCACTGTAAGGGTAGATGGAAGAACGCATGCAAGTTGAGGGGCAAAAGGGAGAGAAGGGTGCTCTAAGGGGTAACGTGACCTTGGAAACTGCGTTTCCTTGGGGAATAACTGTTTACCCCCATGTTACTTCATGAAATTTAACTGGGCTTGAGGAACTCCTGATACTTGAAAGCAGACGTGCAGCCTCATGAGGCCACACTGTGCTGGGGGACTTCTTCACGGGTCCAGTTCAGTCTGCATTTTGGGAGAGAAGGGAGGAAGGAGCAGCAGATGAGGGAGGGGAGGGGGGTAATGAGTGAGGGGTCAAGTATATGGGCGTAAGAGGGGGTGGAGTGAAACTGCAGCCTGGCGAGGGTTGGCTGGCGTAACTAGTGTTTCTAGTGGGGAGAGCAGAGACGCTCTCCCTGGTGAGAGGTTTATGTCAGTGGAAGGCTGAAGCCTCCCTTCACTGGAGGAAGTGTTATGAGAGAGGAGGTGAAGCTGAACGGATAATGCCCCAGTGGAGCAGGCTTCCTGACAGAGATTAGTAGTTGCAATGGCGCTGGCATGGTTGGTGGATGAAGCTCCCGCCTTGCTGCTTGATCCTGCGCGAGGGGCGCTCGCGAGCACGGTTCTGCCGCTGCAGGGCCTTCTGGCTGAGCCGGTGCTTCTCTGCCAGCTGCTTGGCCCGCTGCACCCGCCGGGCCTGGCTGACCTTCTCGAGGATGGCTGCCTTCACTGTGAGAGACGTGCTGTGGTGTGGCACATGGCGCTCCAGCTGGGGCTCCGGCACCTCCCTGGGGAGAGATAACAAGAGACAGGCCCATTAGAGGCCACTGTTGCCTGGCCGCAGGCGCTGCACAGTGGCACTGGTCACACCCCCAGCCCCTGGCAAGAAGGGGACCAGTGTCTCCAGGGACTGCTGAACGGAGGCAGTGGGGCCATACTCCCATCCACCCTGTGACACCCGGCTTGGCTGAGGTGCTTACATGTCGCACCATGCCCTGACCTCATGAAGGCCCATGGGAAAACTTGCCAATGCCAAGACCATCCTGTCAGCTTAATTCTTTAAAATGGTGACAATAGCCAAGCTGACATACCTTTAGCAAACAGCACTTGTCTGTTGAGCATACATGCAAGGCCAAACCTAGAAAGATGCTAAGCTACTGCCTTCCTCTCTTCCGTAGTCAGATCACATCCACTTATGAGAGTATCATTTACATCTTTTGCTTGCACACAGTCCCCAGATTCAGAGCACTGTTTCCAAAGCACTTTCAGCCGCTTCAGCTCTCACCCTGTAGCAAGCTCTGTGGTGGTGGGGGGAAGGCACCCAGCACAGCATGGCTCTATGGAGACCTGCAGTAAATCCAGTCGCTAAAAAGAAATGGGACTATCCCCATAGACCTGTGGTGGCTGTGCTGCCACCAACTTCCTTGAGATCAGCGGAGGGAAGCCAAGCAGAGTTCACAGGTTTCTCATTTCCATCCTGCTTATAATGGATTTTGTTTGCTTGCCTGTTTCTAACTCCCTTTAGGTCCCTTTCTTTGCCTTCCGGCACTGAGGTTCCTCTTATGCTCTTGAGATCAGATTGTGGCCCTTGAGAAGACTTAGCAAATGGAAAATCAGAGTGGAGACAGCACTAGCCAGTGTCCCTTAGCTTGAAGCAGATTTGCTCCCACATTCTGTCCTGAGTGGGGCTGAGTAAGTAACCAAGCTGCAATATGGTGGAGGTGCTTTGTCCATCCTGATGAAGGGCTCATACGGGGAGGTGGCTGGAGGGCTGGGGACCAGTGGGCTAGCAGGGTGCTGGAGCATGTCAGGGTGGTACAAGGGATTCAGTTGCAGAGGTAAGGCTGAGCGATGCACGCAGAGCGGGGAGGTGGGCACTGTCAGAGCTTTCCTGGGTGGCATGGGGCATTAGTAGCTGAGGGCACCAACCAGGAGAGGAGCCCCCTCTGGGCTGCAAAGAGTTTGTGGTCTTGGGGAAGGAGGATGGAGGGTCTCCATCCCTCCAAGCTCCTGAGGAAGGGAGTGGGAGTGGGCAAGTCTCACTTGGTAGGTAAAGGCAAGAGAACAACATTCAGTTACCCAGGGACTGTGAGACTGACCTTTCCAAGAGTGGGACTCCCCTGTAGCTGCCCAGCAAAGTGCAGGGAGGGAGAAGTGGGGAGGGCAGCAATGCCTGCAGCACCCCTGTAACCGGGGAGTGCGGAAGGTGCCCAGCATGCCCAAGGGTCATCTTGCTGCGGTTGAGTATTTAGTTTTCTTTCCTTGTGCCCTGCCCATGTGAAGCCCTGTGCTTAAACCCCACCTGGCAGGCTGGCAAACCCACATCTTCCTCAGGGCCCACCAGTGGGATGCGATGGCCAGCACCTTCAGCTGATGGGTGCTTGCCAGGAGTTACTATTTTAGGCAGGAAACGAGGCTGGTCTCTCAGTGCCATGGCAGGGGGGCTGTGGGCCCTGCTACTCCAGGTTCTCTCAGTGCAACTTGGCAAGAAGCACAGAGAGAGGATTTCAGCAGGCCTGGCCCATATGCAAGGTCTTCTTGACATAGTCCCGAAAGACCAGGTACACACTGAGGTTGTTTCAGTGACATATTTTGAAACTTGCGGCATGCCAGCTTTTGTGCAGAGGTGCACGGGGGCCAGCCTCCCAGTGTGGGTGCCTGGACCTGCTAGGAGAGGAGGCCTGAGCCCAGGTTTGCCGGCAGCTCTGGTCTGTCCCACAGGCTGCAGGGCAGCGGGGTCTAACACTCCTGGGCAGGAGAGGGACAGCAGTGATTTGGGAGGCCACGGTGACAGGCAGGCGTTGACGGCTTGAGTGCCTTGGTCCCTCACATCCCTGCCCTCAGCTGTTCTGTGAGGGCTACCAGCAGCCCCAGCCTGGCTGGTTAGCAAAGCCCAGCCGAGGACACCCCACCTTGTGCCATCCCTGCGAGCTCCTGGAGGATGCCAGTGCCACTCTCACCCTTCACTCACCCTTCACTGATCTCCTCGGGACTCTCCCTGTCCACCACGAGGCTGTTGCTGGTGACATAGACGGACATGCTAGGGTGCTCAATAAGGAGATCCTCCATGGGGTTGCTCTCCATGCTGTCGAGGCCGGGGCCTTCTGCAGTAAAACAGGGGGGAGGGGTGACAAACCAACTCTCGTCCATCAAGCAGGGGTCGGGCTGGGAGGGCACAGGCCTGCCGACACAGTCACGGAGTGAGTGGGACGAAGAAGTGGTAGGCGGGGGGGACTCTGGGCACCCCCGGGGCGTGCATACGGGAGCTCTCTCACCTACCCTCTGCTCTTCACCAGAGGTTGAGGCATAACTACCTAATGAGAGACAAGAGCCGCCGCCCGGCAGGTGGGACAGCCGAGAGCGGCACAAGAGTTGGAAGCCATGCAAAGAAGGGCAGGGAGGAGCATGGAGCAAAGACACACACACATACGATATACAGTGGGGAGGGAGAGGGGGAGGGGGGAGAAAAAGGGGGCATTATTAGTACAAAAGACACCCCAACAGCATCAATACTATTATATATGTATATAGTATAACATACAGGAACTCTCACTGAAGGATAAACCACCACGCAAAATAAAACCACCACCGCAGCACAGCAAGGCCACAGCAAGGGTCAGTTGAGCTTGGGCTGGTGGAGGACCTCCAAGGACCATGGCAGCATCTGCACAGGGAAGCTGGAGGTGCCCATGCTCCAGTAGCGCCTTTCTTCCCTGGTCACCAGCAGCGACGGTGCAAACGGCACCCACGGCTGGAGGGGTGGCTGCTCCAAGCTCCCCCAAAGTGCTGCCGCCATCCCAGGCAAGAGGCCAAACGTAGCACTTGCTCACACAGACAGTGCCCCTCTGGCTGGCATGGGAGGTCAGCTGGCCTCCAAGATTGGCTGGGACCCTTCGCACTGAAGGTTGCTAGACCAGTTTCTCACCAGACATTGGCTCCAGTGATGCTATGGGGCTGAGGGGGACTCGAATGGGCAGAAATAGCAGAAATCCCCTGTTTTGCTGAAACAGCAAGCAAGAGAAGCATGCAAATATTTCTGGTTAAGTGGTTTCACCAAAAATTGAAATCACCAGGGAAATCACCAGGGCTTACTGAAGCAATTTTTTTTTTCTTCATGAAATGAAGGAAGGCATTCAGCTAGAAAGAAACATTGCTTTTTTCTGTAAACTTATTTGATTTGAACCCTGCCTTTCAAAAGAACAATAGCTGAATTACTAAGTGAATCTTTGCTTGAAAATACAAATACTTAATTCCTGCAATTGTTCACACCCATCACTGAGACCAAAAAAAAGTTCATGCTTTTTTTCCTGGAAGAAATCTTTTTCTCAGTGAATAAATCATTCACCAGAAGTTTTCACCATGCCTTTGACTTCAGTCTGTAGGAGGCAGATTTTCAACTGGTGAGCTGTTCATACTAACTGCATGCATCACTTTGAAGCTCCAGCCTTTATTTTCCTTTCCCTCCTCGCCTCTGCTTGGCAAGTTAGTTGGACTGGTGCTTTTCTGGGACTCCCGTGTCAGGAGTTGCTGGCTGTGCTATGGGAAGGGAGCCTGCTCTTAGTGTTGA